AGAAGAGCCCAAAAAGTGAAGATTGTACTTCATTTAGGAGATCAGGACAGGTTCTTTTGCTCTGGGTCAGCAAGTTCTTTTTACCAAAGGATGCTAAAGATGGGGTGTGGAGATCCATTGCATGCCATAAAAATTGGACTGTGTGTATTTGGAAATGTACAATTAGGTTTACATCCCTGGTAGCAGGAATTACATTTTCACAAAGTGTTTCACAAGCTATTTCTAAAATTTTGAGTGAGTGGGTTGCAAGAACCAATGCTTTTTCACTGATCAGGGCCATTTCCAGATGCTTGAAAGAACAGTTGGAGTCATTTGGCTGCCCAAAGGCAAATATGCATGTTCCAGCCAGGTCAGGGTGGCTGCTGTGTGACATGAGGCCTCAGAGGAGGTGCCTCGCTCACTGTCCCAGGACATCCCTTTCTGGATGTGACTGTCATTGTTCCTGTGGCACTTCTGAATTGCCCAGAAATGATACATCCTAAGGCACTATGTAAAGGGGCACCTGTCTTTCTATAAGTATTAAATGTGAGGACCAGGAGTGCAAACACAGCAGACAAAACACACAAATAACCTTTGAAAACCTTGACTTTATGCAGAGAGTCACATACAATTTACATTTGGGAAACTGAAATTTTATATTTGCATATGCATGTCATCCATAAAAATTCAACATATTGATACCCTTTTAAATTTTAAAATATTTAAGCTATTTCAGCATTATTGCCTTTTAAACCATTGTTTGGAAAATAGTTTTGTTTGTTTACATCTGAACTTCCGATTGCTTTGCAGTTCTGCATTTCACTACGGTAGCAGATGTTGGTGACATTTTATAGAGCATAAATAACAGCTGTGAGCTGTGAAGTCATAATTCTATCAGGGGATCTTTCTTACAGCTTGTCAAAATAAAAGAGCAAATTTTGAGTGACAAATATGTATGTATTTGCCAGAAGTTTGTTTCAGGCATATCTGGGTACCCACTGTTTTCATGGAGCCAAATACCATGATGTGTAGAGGCTGAAATAAGAAGCTTGAAGGTGCCCTAATATGCCAAATTTGTACATCTGAGAAGATACAAGGGACCTTGCTTGGGAAGAGTCAAGAGATGAACAGCATACTGCTGTCTCAGGGAAAAACTGGTCGCCCCACATGGTGTAAAACAGGCGCTAAGGTATATTAAGAAAACCTCCTGGTCTGACTGTTGCCGAGCGTCTCTGCTGGTCACACTCCCAAGGCGTGAGACTTTCACTGCTGGGGCCAAAGCCCCTTCACAGCGGGAGGCTCCAGTGGGAGCCCAGCCTGACTCCCCATATCCCCCACTCACACAGTCAGACCAGGTTTCCTCACCAGGTCAATCCCAGGTTTCCCATGGCAGTGTCAGATGTCTCATTCCATAAAGCCATTTATTCAGGGCACAGTAACACAGAAACATCCGGAGCTGCTCCCTCAGAGGAGGATCCCCAGCAAAGGAACCCCAGGCTTTTCTCCCCTCACAAATCTACCAGCTCACAAGTCTCGCTCTTCCTCCCGAGTCTCTCAGTGCGCACCCACCGGCAGTGCCAGCGCTCTTTGTGCCATTCCTTATGGGAAAGGTTGGCAGGTCACGGCCTCTTGTCTCTCTGGGCTCCCAGGCAGAGCTTCATCTGCACCTCACGCTGCAGCTTGCAACTGGGCTGCCTGCAGCAGCTGTGCTCCTCGACGAAGGAGTCTATGGATTTATTAATGACAACAAAGTGGCAATCTGTGAACTAAACTTTCAGGATCAATACAAAACAGGTGAACTCCAATACCAGACACAAGACATCAATAAACAGCCACAAAGGTGTTTAGGTTTCTAAGCACTTTTCTGCAGCTCATGCTAAACACAGATGTGAACACATATTCACAGTAACTTACACCTCCATGCTACTGTGTCTTGGGCTATGAGACACAGAAGTGAAAAGGGGTTACACATGAGCAATGTCTGACTTGTCTGAGGTCTGTTTTCTACAGATAATTAAGGCATCTTGTCTTTTCTTCTTTCAGACATATTCTATTCTTTTGCCCGGACTTTTTGTCTCTGGAAGTTGGGCTCTTTCAACTTTGGTCCAGCATTTTTTTGGGATGTTTGCTTGTATATATAAATAAATCTTTCAAATTTTAATAGATTTATAAATGCGTAATCGTACGTAAGTATTTTTAAAAGTAGTGAACAGGGATATGGGGTGTCTGTTAGACTTCCTTGGAGTCAACAAAACAATAGGATCAAAATCAACTTTGAAACCTGTTTACATCTGATCAATTGTCATTGCAATCACTTGTCATATAAGTTATTGAAGGCAAAGCACTGAAAACTTTACTGCTTATTTTTTAAAACAGTCCATAATTTAAAATATTTCCAGTAATTTTGAATATATATGTGTAATAGGGAAACCAAGGAGAGATAAAGAAACCTTCCCATAGAAATGAATATTCAGGTGTTGCTAAAAAATCCCGTTTGTGTCTTTCCTTTATCAAAAAAGTGGCGTCGTGACAAGCCATTTTATTTCCTGTAGTGCACCTTTTCAACATTTCAGCCTTTCCAGCAGGTAAACCCGGGTGTTTTGTGTTGTAGCTGCGGGATGTAAATGGTGCAAAGAGCCCTTCCTCTCGCTAGATGGCACCGCTGCCCTCGGAACAGGGTCCTCCAAGGGCCGCATTTTTGGGTAAAAAGTTTCCAAAGAGCTCCTTCCGTTTATGAGGATTAACTGCGCTTTGTTTGGGTCCTGCAGATGTGGCAAGTTAAACACATTCCTGTTGATTCGGTGTTAATTCCTGAGCCTATCTGGACTGCTCATTTTTGCTCCAGGCTTGCTGGTTTTTTTTCCTATCCACACACTGAACAATATTGCAGAGATTGTGCAAACACAGTTGTAAATTGGCTTGTGAGCACAAATACAAAGGGTGGTTTAAGAACTGAAATAAAAGTAATATAGTCTCAAGTCAAGTCCACGTGGTTTGGGTTGATTTCAAATCTGTAAGATATAGGGACTCTGAGGAACTGGAATTATCTCAGATGAATGACCTGAAAAAACAAGCAATGTCTTCTCTGCAGTTGGGGAGAGACTGGGAGAAATGAAAAGATGAACAGAATGTGAGCCCCAAAAACTGCACTGGAGGAAGGGCTAAGCCCTGGGAAAAGCACAGACCAACCAAAATATTCACTGAGACCACCTACAAAGTCCTTTTGGAACTCCTCCAAATCAAAGTAGTTCTCAGAGGTGTGACTTGTTGTCTGACCCAATGAAAAAACAAAGGAGAAATATTTGTTGAAGTTCTGAGCTCAGTTTGGAGTGATCTGCAAGTGTACTTTCTTTTAAAGCAAAATTCCAAAGGCACACATCGAATTGGTACTTCTTTTAAAATGCATTTTTTAAAGCAAGTATTTGCAGCATTTCCCATACTGTATTTTGACCCACATACAAGCTCACACATGTGACCCTCCAAAAACACCCCAGTTGCTGAGATTCAATTCTTGTGCGGGTTCAATTTCCTTCTATCTCTGTATGTATTTGGCTCCTTATCCAGGAGAATGAGTGGCTTAGGGGTTAAATAAAAGTCGGGAATCATTGCTGAAGGAAAAGAATGGGCATTCAATGAGGAGTTAAAAATGGCAAAATGAATTAATGGTGTAAAGGAAAAGTGAAATTGTGTATTGCTTCCGACATAGGGTAGTTTGAGGGGATCACTGTCTTAATTGCTTGAGCTCTCTAAAGGATTCCTGCTTGTCCAAACTGCTCTCTGCCAGGGGAGGACATCCTGATGTTATCAAATCCCTTCACAAGTGCTGTTTTTCAGACACATGGGGTACACACATTGTGTTGGTGCCTTGACACTCAAACTTTAGGATTATTTTTTAAGATGCCTACTGCACAGTCAGTTGCTGAGGTCTGCAGCCACTAAAAAGCTAAACAACAGGATTTTAGCCTTTACAGTAAAATCCAATCAAATAGATAGTTGTAAATCAATTATGATTAATTTTTTGTGAACTAGTTTTTGGCTGTCTTTATTTATTTAAATTCTGAGCTTTTAGTTAAAATGGCTTTTATTTTCAAATTTCTAAGCTGTGAGTGCTGGGACCATCTAATGCCATTTATTTTGAGGATTGAGGATTCAAGGGATTAGAAGGATATGATAAACTCCAAGTATTCTAAAAGCTGACTGAAAATATTATCGGGTGCATTATAAATGAAGGAGCCCAAAATAAAACCAAGGGAATATTCAGATTCCCAAATACACATGGGGAGCAAAATCTCTGGTGCTATGGCTGCAGCTACTGGTTCACTGTATCAGGAGACCCCTTAAAGTGATGATTATTGGCAGGAAAGGGATTTGAAGAGAGAGGAGCAGCAAGGCTGTTTTCAAGTGGAGACAGGAATTAAAGATGCTTGGGTTGGATGGAATTTTCTGAAGCTTTGTGAATGCTGAAGGAATGGACAGGAGCTGCTAGAGTAATTTGGAAGCGTACTAACGTCAAATCTGTTCAAGGGTACTGTTGGAAGAAATCTTATATTAAATGTTTTATTCCGTATTTTGGAGGATCATTCAGAATGGATCTTCTGTTTTACGGAATGTTGCTCCTATCTTTACACGCTTAGTATGAACGGGGTGGAGGAATTCCTAGAAATGTAAAGACACCAAAAATCAACAGAAAACATATTAGGCAGCCTTCTGTGTGTCTCACCCTTCAGCATGCTAAGTGGCTGCTTTGAGTTCCCAAGCATACACCACCCAGATGACACATCCCTGTGCCCAAGGGGGCCCCCTGGCACAGTGCAGGTGCTGATCAAATTTGAGCTTCCTTGGAAGATGGAGGCAAGAGAATACTGCCCAGCATCTTCATCCCAGCTACACTCCATACTCTCTTTCTCTCGAGCACTGCTCTTACACTCAGCCTCCCATTCTGGCTGCTCTGCAGCTCGAGTGCAAAACCATACAATGGCTCTGTCCCCTCTCGCATGCGACAGCAATAAAAAATGTGGCAATGGAGAGAAAAGGAGAAGTTTATTGATTTGGACTGCTCTCAAGAGCTACAGCTAGGGGGTGTGAAGACTACAGGGGAGAGAATGCTATGCCTAAGACTACATCAGCTCTTGGGAACTTGAACTCTATGAAAAACTGCAACTTTTGGGGGAGCAGACTGCTGGGAACTCTATAGCTAGGTCTAAGAGTGGGGGATGTTGAGGTGCCTGGGCTGAGCATGCCCTGCAAATGGCGAGCCAGGCTGGAGAGACACCGTCAAGGGGAGAAGTAGATTTTCCTCCTCTTCCAAAGGCCCCATTTCCTTGGTCTCTTTTCTCCTGGCCTCTGCAGAGGGTGACGGTGCAGATACAGCCACATCAGGGTACGGCTGTCCCTCAGCAGCTGGAACATTTCCTTGCAGCAGCTGTGTCCCTGGTAGCCTGTCCCTGTAGAGGCCGGGGGGCTTGGCTGCTCCTCCTGGAGGGCACAACACAAGGAGACTGATGTGAGAGAGCAGAGGGGCAGAGGGGCACTGAACCCTCTCGGGCTGGCTTTGGCCTCTGTGGGAGCCACTCACACCTGGGTGGGTGGCCCTGGATGAAGGCTCTGCCTGGTGTCCTTGGGGCTCAGCCTGGGCCCGATTCCAAGGGGCTGAGCCTCTCCCACTGCCTCTGGGCCCTGTGCAAAAGGCTGCCCAAGAGGCCCAGGACCCCGGGGACCTGTCCAAATGTTCTTCTCTGTGGGCGCCCTCAGGTCTTGCCTGACACCGGCTTGGCCCAAGGCCTTGGACAGCTGCTGCCAGCCCCCCAACTCTCCCATGGGCACCATCCCACCTGCCTGACTTCCTTCTCTCCCTGACCTCTCCCCAGAATCTCCAGAGGCTTCTGGACAGCCACCAGCCAAGTGAAATGGCCACCATCAGCAGGTCCAGGTTTTTGAATCTCCAAGAAGTCAGCTCCACGCGCCTCAAGGGAGTCATCTCTGGGCTCAAGTCCCACTGCTCCAGGGTCTCATCAAGCACAGCTGAGGTGCCTGTGTTCACAGCAGGACAGACAGAAGTGTCCAGGGGATGTCCCAAGACCACCAGCAGCGCAAGCGGCAGGATCCAGGGGAAGCTCTGGCCCTCCATGCTTGACCAGCAGTGAACAGCCTCAGGCCTTGCTGTGTGTGCACTGAGGTATGTCCTGGCTGTGGGCACGGGCTGGCAGCAGTTGCCAGCCATCGTGCTGTGCCTGGGGCTGTGATGTCACTGAAGCACGGCATGCATTGCCTTGGAAGAGCCCTGGGAGACCATGGCATCCATCCCCAGCACCGCAACTAGAGCGAGGCACTGAGTGCCACACCCAGGTTTTCCTTTCCTGGGCACCTCCCACTGTAGGGATTCCACTCCAGCCAGCCCTGAGCAGCCCATTCCAATGTGGAATCCCCCTGTCTGGGGAAAACATTCTTCCTAATGTTCGACCTCCTTGGTGCAGCTTGAACCCCTTCTTGACATCTGCTCTCTCTTGTCCTTGCCCACCTCTGAGAAGGCTGGCACTGCCTTATCTGTAAGTTGCCTGTAGGCAGGAGCAGAGGCTGTGCCAAGGATTCCTGCTCTACTTTTGGACCATTGCAAGGGGCTGCTTTCCTTATTCCTTGTATATTTGTATTAAAGAAGAGAGCATCCCTTCAGGAAAGAATTACCCTGTGTAACAAGCAGTTGGTACGACAACAAGTGTCCATAAAGAGGCAGGAAAAAAGACCGAGGCTGGAAAATTGAAGTGGACTAGTAACTGTCAGAAGTACAGGGCTCTGGAAGAGCTTTCCAGTCAGCAGAGCCTTGAGTTTTAATATGGAGCTGGAGCAGCACATGAAAGGCAGTTCTGTGATGCGGCTGCTGCGGCTGCAGGCCAATCCCAAGGTCCCTTCAAGAGCTGTAGGTCTCCAAGCCAAGGAGAATGAGGCTCAGAAGGGACAGAACTAGTCTCTGAAGGCTAAGACTGGATCCATGCCCAGGGAACAAGAGCAGGGAGAGAACGAGCACAGGCAGTCACCTGAGACAGGGCAGAGGAAGCATGTCAAGGAAAGGAACAGAAGCTTGGAGCATGGGCCAAAGCCTCTGTAGCCTCTCGAGAGGAATCCTTACCAGGGGAGTGCAACCAAAGAAGAGGTCCAGCTCCCAGGGATCTGGCAAGCTGGAGCACACTGTGTAGGAATGGTGCTCAGTCAAGGGTGGCCCTGCTTGAGGCTGCCCAGCAAAGGCAGGGATGTGCCCCAGGGCTTGGTGCCAGCAGCTGCTGGAGCTGGAGCCACACACAGAGCCCTGCAAGGAAGGTTGGAACTTCTGAAGTCTGATGTGGCTTCAGGTAGTGCATGGTGTCTATACCTGCAGCTGTCAGTGATGGGGGCATCCTCAATTTTGCGACACATCTCATATTTGAGGCACTGAGCCACTAGTGGGCTGACCTGTGCAATGCAGAGAGCAGGGTTTGCAGCACACAGAAGGAGGATGACAAAACTGGCAGGATCTTCTGGGAGTCTCTTCAGAGAAACATCATGTGCTTGAAACAGGAAAGGAGCACCCAGAAGGAAGAGCAGGACAAGGAGGACTTAACCCTTTTCTTTTCCACTCCAATGCCCATTTGTTCACTTATTTGAAGTGATTTGACACAAATACATACAGGATGGAAGAGAAACAGAAAGAGGTCTAGGCTCAGTCTAGAAATCCTGAGTTCACTGTACTGACTGACATGGAAATTTTAGCCGTGCCCTGGCAGGCAGGAGTGTCACCCATGTCTTGAGGGGTATTGATAGCAGACCTAGAAACACTGACCTGGCAAGGGAGGGGATTGTCCCTCTCTGCCCTTCACTCAAGTGGCCTCACCTTAGACATTTTGTCCATTTTTGTGTGCTAAAGCAGAAGGAAGCTATAAAGTTGTTGGAGACCTTTCAGGACAGGCCTACAAGGATGATGAAAGGCTTTGAGGTGAAGCCTTATGAGAAGCTGCTGAGCCATAAATTACCAAAATATCTCTTAGCTGAACGGTTTTGGGGTGTGACTGTGGTACCTGAAAAATACTGTATTCATACGAGCCTGGCCACTATATTAGAGAAAAACACAACCAAGTTTGACCCTCAGGACTGTAGAGTAATACCTGGGTTTTTTTTCCTCGACAAGCATTGCAAGGCAATATATCACCATCACCAGCAGACCATGACCTAAAATCAGTCTGGCATGCAGCAGAAGCCTTTTATTTTTACCTTGCATTTAATAATAGATGCAGTTGACATTTATCTTACCATTTAAAAAGGATAGGAGAATGCAGGTACTTGGCCAAGGACACAGATTCTCCTTGTTCTTATGTTTGTGAAGGAGAGGTATCTTCTTTGACACCTACTCCCTACAAGGGTGTTACCGTTTTATGTACCAAAGCTTAGGTGCTCACTAGATGGGATGAGAGAGCACTGAAGAAGATTTGCACGTAGCCAGGGCAGGGACCCATGCCTGAGAGTGTCAGCAGGGTCCAGGACAGATCAGGCAATGTGCCCACCAGGAGCAATGCTGTGGGGTTTCACTGCAGCACAGCCACGGGCTGTGGCTGTGGTTGGTCCCAAGTAGCTGTAAGGAAAATATATTGTAGGGTTGCTCCAAAAAATACCATACGTGTCTAGATGTTACTCACTGTTAGTCTGGATGCCAGATTGTGATGTGGCTTTGTGGGACATGCAGATGGAGTTAGCCCAAATGAAAGACCACCTTCAGAGAGAAAATCACAGAAATTGGTTTTTTGGGTTTTGGTAGAAATTTGCATTACTGACATCCTCTGATGAAACCTGTGGTCTGACTGAAAAGAAGAGGAAAAAGTGTGCAATATTCACTGCCAAATCATCCTTATTAACATAGTAAAGCACCACTTCTGATATTGCTTTTGGTAGTTCTGGCATCTGTGCATCTCTTTAGAGAGGGAATGAAGGCTAAAGCAGTGTCAAATTAAGCACTTTGCATGGAAGGAAAGGAAAAACCAAGATAACTATAGGAGGAATACTGTAGCACTAGCTGTTGTACAGAGGGCAGTAATTTAGACCTATTAAGAATATTATTAGAATTATTTGGAAGAATAAAAATGGAATATTTATGAAGTTCACGGGAATTTGTCAGATTATATGAGATCCTTTTGCTTCAATCTGGATTTCTGGTACACCAGGATGAGGGATGAAGAGAATAGTCTGCCTCTTCCTGCCTGTGGGATAAAAAGCCAATCTCTTGTAGATGTACATCTTGAGAGGTTGTAGGGAGTCAGTTTTCTCAAGCAGCCTGTAGGTAACCACCATACCCTGAGCAATCAGTGAATCAGAATTCCCCTGACTAACTGAGGGCAAAATTTGAGGAGCAAGTCAGCCAGGGCACATTTTAGAGCCTTTCACAGACCTGGTAATGTTGCACAACTTACACTCATGGCTTACTAAGAAAGTCTTTCCTTTCTTCCCCCCATTCCCCTTTCTACTTCCACCCAGAAGCTCTAATCCTGCTGTGGTTAACAGCTTGTCTTGGGGAAAACCTGTTGTTGATAAAACTGCAGCTCTTCACACATCCAAATTTCCAGTGAACCAAATGGGATTTATTTCTTCAGGCTTTCAGGGACAAATGAAGAGCCATAGTCAAGCCTACCAATGGAGGAGAGGTTTTGCAAACCTTGGGAGCTGAACTGCCAGGAGGGCCATCTGGCTGGATGTAAACTGGTCCTTTTTACATTATGCCTTTTTGGGGGAGATTCTTATAATTTCTGATCTGTGCTTTGTTAGGTTTCACAGGCTGTGTGATACAGGCAGCAGTAATCCCACAGTTTAGACTGACAGTAATGTGTTTCTGATGGCAAAATGAACTGTGACCCCTGAGGCAAAGGATTATCCCATAATCCTGCTAAGGCAGTGGAGGGGCTCTATTAAACCAGCTGTGCCCTTTGGCAGAGCTGACTTTTCTGGATGGTCTGCAGGATGCCTGTCCAGCATCTCTCCCATGGCACAGCAGTGCCTGGGGCTGGGTACAGATACTGCTGTGAGAACAGAGACCACACTGCTGAGCTTCTAACCACGTTGGCTGATTCTGCTTTTTAGTGGTTATAAAATCACAGTTCCAACTGTGATGTGTAATCTCAGATGTGGGCAGGATTTATCATGGAAACAATTGGATTTTGGCTGCCTTGCTGAATAATAGCTCATGTTGTGAGTGAGAAAGTTGCACCAGAAACCAACAGCTGGTTGGCTTACCACTGGAAAATGTAAACTAATACTGTTGATATAAGAAGGACATCACCAAGAAGTCATGGCTTCTATACACTGTTGAAGTAGATCTGAATTATTGACTCTGTCAGCAGCTGAAATACCAAATTGAGATAATATTTCCCACCACAAAAGGGAGAAAATAACTATTAAATTCCTTAGTATTGTTTCTCCTAATGTTCTTGGCTGTGTATTTGATATCTTCTCTCTCCTTTCTGTACTGAGACATCAAAACTTGGGTAAAGTATTAATTATGCTGAATTTTAATTCTACTCAGTTTAGACCTAATCTAGAATACTTCTGCATTTTTGACTTAGACAAGAATGAATTTTTGAGACAGCCTGTCCAGCCACAGGCATGCAAATTACTCACTCACACGAGATCCTAAGAGTGAGAGTACGCCAAGAAGGCTTTTCTTCTCGGATTTTACACAGGACCTCGGATTTTACACAGGGTGCTAAACACTGGCCCTTCCCTCCTTTTCCTTGTTCCATGTGCTGTAAATAAGATGATTTTAAGTAAGGAACCTACAAAAGGCTGAGTATAAGGAGAGACCTTTCACGCTCCTTCACAGTTTGGTGCCACCTCTTGGAGACGCTTGTTTTCCACTTCCTCATTTCCTGGGCTTTCAGACTGTTCTACACCTATTTGTACCAGAGAGGATGAAGAGCTGGAGTGCCACATTTGAGGATAATAAAATAGACCCCTTGTCATTTGTGGCTTCCTCTAGATAATGAAAAATGGAAGTTTTGGTAAATTTAAAAGATTTTCACTCTAAGAAAGCTTAATGCATTTTTTTATTAAGATTTAGTAATTATTTAGAAATTTCTGTGTTAAGATAGGAAAGTCATGGCAGGTGTTTCCCAGCTAGTTATTCTGCAGATAACTTTTTTTGTTGGGCTTTTTTTTTGTTTGTCTCCCCCAGACAGCAGTAACTGTAATGTATGGCAGATCTCAGAGCACACTGTTCTCTTCATGATGAATTATTTATTTAGCCTTCTGAATTTATGAGGCAGCATCTCCATGCAAAGCAATGTGATACAGCTCTACATCACGCCCTGGGACAAAAACACTGTACTGCCTTGAGAGCAGAAGGGAACGTTGGGTTGGTAGGACATCCTAATCTCTAAACTATAACTGCAGTAGGACAAAGGAATCTACATTCCTGCTACAATAAAAGTGGAGGTTTTAATCATTGTAGCAACAAGAGTAAGACAGACTTTGGATTAAACAGTAAGGGAAGAAAATTCTTAGTAATAAGAAAAATTGATCCTGGGCCATAGGGACAGCTTACTACAGCAGAGGAATTAAACAGGTTAGATGAAATGTCAGGTGTAATCATGCACTGAGTATGATTTAATCCAGGGGCGTGACCCAAGATTACTCTCTCTTCATGGTTTCATTATCCAGGGTCCTATTGTGCACCAGTGCTTTTACCAATCAACTGATTTCTTAATTTTGTGCAAGGTTGTATCATTACCATCTGTTATTTGGTGCTTTGGGTTTGGATATAGAAAAATGTCATGTGCAAGGACAATGTGTTCTATAAAATATGTGTGCATTGCCCTTTGTGGATCTTGCAGCAAAAAGTCTTTTCAGCCTTCATAGTGAGATACCAGTTGCCCAAAAATGTGACAGGTACCACGTCACCCTTCATCCTGGCAAGGTGAAGGGATAGCTCATCTGGGAAAAGTCCACAGGCAGAATTTGAGATACTCTTCTAACTGGAGATAAATAAATATTAAGGTAGATCTGGGATATCTACTAAGTTTTCTATGCTGAATATTGTTTTGCTGGAAATGCAAAATGTTCTGCTGGAAAGGCACAGTGACAAAATCCTGATGAAAGTGGTGTCACAGCACAAAAGAACACCTGGAAGGGTGGAAGATGAGACAATCTTGCTTGAGGAGAGGTAGCAGCAGGTAGTTTCAGTGGTGTGGAGTGTGTAAGTGAATGCCAGGAAAGGATTTCCACACAGCCTTTGAGAAGAGAAAATGATCAAAGGAACATAAAATTACTGATTTCAGTTCTGGTTCTACAGAAATATATTTTCTGGTTTCAGTTTTTATTCTACTCTGCTCTACCTTTACCTAGTATTTGAATATTTGGTAAGAGCATGCAAACTAAATCTTTACTGGATGCATCAACCTGGACTTTGGCAGCATGTCAGGTTTAATGGGATCACTGTCTGCAATTCCAGCCTCAGCAACTGGTCACAAGTCACAGGATTTCTACCTCACCACAGGACTTGGCAGAAAACAAAAGGGAGGTGGAAATTAAGAAAACAGCTCATTCTGCAGATAGGCCGTTGAGAAAATAACCACGGTGCCACAGATGGCAGCACGCCTTTGCTGGGCGTTTGCATCTCTAGCTAGTAGGAACTTGCCAGCTTGAGTGGAGTTACCTTGATACTAAGGTAAAGACTGTTTCTACCAAATTAACTGATGGAAAGAAAAACAACCTCCTGCCACACACATACCATTTCACACAACGTTTTTCCACACTTGTGTTATGTTTTTGCCAATTGAAGTCTTTCCTTGGGGCTGCTGAACTTGCAGAGTTTGTCCTTTTATTTACCCAAAGAAGAGATATATCTTGATGGTAAAAATACAGACTTCTCTACACTGCCTTACCATTGTTGGGGTTTTTAAACCATTTTTTGGACAGGCCATGTTTTGATTTCTGTGTATTAACTTAATGTAAATGCATTACTCTTAGATGCAGTGTTTCCATCCAACAGGTCAATACTAGTCACAGCAGTGACTTTAGTGATGTGAATGTTGGCCCACAGGAATTGCAGTCCTAAATTAATTTGAAAGTGGTCACTGAAATACTTGCATGAAAAATATAAACTGCTGAAGCAAGAGGAACCTAGAAACAAGAGGAATCCTTCTCCCTTTCTCAGGAAAACCTGAGAGACGTGCTTCCTCTGAGGACATGTTACTGAAATATCTGAAAACATTCAAATAACCTCAAGAAAAATTGTTGCAAGATTGCTACAGATGCTTCCTTGCTCTTATGGGAAACTTGTTAATCTTAAAACCTGTGAAAAATATGCATATTTTCTCTATTCAGCATAATTTCATATTTCTATGTGTGGGAAGGGAGGTAGAGGATTAAATAACTGTGCTGGAGGCAATTAAAACAGAAGGAAGAAACTACCACAAACCCCAAATAAGGGGAAAAATCCCTAAAGTTTCACTGAAGCCAGCCAGAGAGTTGGAGAAAGAAGTCCCTATGAAGCATGAAATCTGCTTTTGTCCCTGTAGTTTACAGTGACACCAGCTTCACAACACACAGAGTAGTGCACTGCTTTGGCTACTGTGTGGCTCTTGCCTTGGTGAATGCTGAGAGACGGTGGATGCCATTCCTGTGCTAGCCTTAATTCCCTCTCTAACCTCCAACCAGCACATTTTCTCACTCAGGAAAACAGACAGCTGACAAGAAGGCTGTCCTCTAGATTCTCCCTGCCAGGAGGTAGTCACAGCAGGTGGGAGATAACAGCGGTGAGCTGGCCAGGGGCAGAGTATAGCTCAGGAGCAGACAAAGCCCTTGTTTCACCACAATTCTGAGCTGCCTCTGCTCTGCCCTGCCTTGCTCTGAATTCTTTAGCAACCTTTGGGCTAGCCATTTGTTTGTCTTGAGAAACATGGGGGATTATTCTTTAAATTTTTTTGGTCACTCTGATGCGTTGTAACTTCCCAGAAAGGGCTTTTATAGGTTTATTTGAATTTTGACTGTGCTTGACTTAACTGCAATCAATTATTGCATTAGCAATGAAACAAGCTCAAGTTAAAAAAGAAACAAAACAAAACAAAACAAAAAAAACCCTTCCCAACCCTTGTAAGCTTTTATTAAACCGCCGTTGTCTGCATCCAATGTTCCCACATCGAGTGTGACCACGCTGGCAGGAAATCTGCCTGCAAGGCCACTCCAGCAATGGCTGGGAAATAAATCCAGTGCCTAAAGGAGGAGAGAGGTAGAGCCCTGTTCACAGGAGAGGGACAAACTTCACACATTGTCTGTAAAGGGATGCCCTTTTCGGGGCTCTTTCTATTGAATGCCAAAAAAAGTGGTAGCAGCACTGACTGATATTTTCAGGGGAGCAGGGGACTTCTTATTTGTAGAAATAAAAAGTGCTGCACAGTGCTGCAGCTGGTAACAAACAGACAACTTTTATTTCCTGCTGTCCTGTGTGTTTATTTTGCCTCATCCAGCAGCTCCAGCATTATTTGCAAGGATGCTACTAACCCTGGATAATTCACTCATGGTGGCTCTAATATGTTTGCACTCATGTTTGTTACAGTGCTGTGAGGTACTGAAGAACCAGGCTCTGTAAAAGATCATCATCCCTTTTTTTGTGTGTTTTTTTCTCATTCAGCTCTAAAATTCTGCTGTTGTGTTTCCTACCTTTTTTCTAACTTTGAACTCTGCTGTGCATCCAAAGGGACATGCCTTTAAAAAGACTTTGAGAATGACCTTGCTTTCTGTGAGAATGACCTCGCTTTCTGGGGAGAGTCTGCTTATCCAGTTACGCTTTTAAATTAATTTCTGCAGTTTGGTGGTTTTCTTAACTGTTACCCATTCAAGCTAAGCCTGAGATTTTCTCATCAATACACTTTGTTTCTGTCTTAGGCCAATGCAAGTCATACATTTGGAGGTTGATGGCTGATTTTCTGAGTTCTAGAGGACTTATTCATAGATGTACTAATCCAGCCCCACTTGAATAAGCCACAATAAATAAACAAACACAATAGAATGGCCAGATACATGACTTACTTGTGTGCATGAAACAGATCATGAAAGGGTTCCACATTTCCAGTCTGTCTCCTGTGTGCAAGCAGCGTGGGACCCTGTGGATGGGCCAGCGCCCTGTTCCCTCTGCCAGGCAATGCAAATCGGAGCTGCTTCTGTAGGCTTGAAAAGATTAGATGCAATTTCCATATTACAAGTGAGAAAATGCAAACATGCATTAAAAGATTCAGTGTCAGGGCTTCATAATAGAAGTTCTTGGTGGTTTGTCATCTTAAATGCCCTTTAGATAAAGGGTAAGGGCTAAAAATTAATGTGACCTTTTCCTTCTCCCATCTAGATCTAGATCTGTGCCTATTTAGGGAGTGTGCATGTGCTTGGAATGAAAACAGCTTATTTCTGCAAGAGTATATGAAAACTATGGTGCTAGAGACACTTTAAGAAATCTTAAACTCATGCTGGAATCAAACCTGCACTTTCTCAGGATCCACAAAACTCTCAGC